TTCTTTGAACTTTTCTTATTTTCGCAACTTTTCTGAAAGCCTGAAATTATTTCCAGATTTAAAAAAATTAATGGGGCCGGCCCTGTGGCCGAGTGGTTAAGTTTGTGTGCTCTGCTTCAGCGGTCTGAGGTTTGCCGGTTCAGATCCTGGGCGCAGACATGCACTGCTCATCAGGCCATGCTGTGGTGGCATCCCACACAGAAGAGCTAGAATGACCCACAACTAGGATATAGAACTGTGTACTGGGGCTTTGGGAAGAAAAAAAAAGAGAAAGATTGGCAACAGATGTTAGCTCAGGGCCAATCTTCCTCACCAAAAAAAGGTATAAAAAAATTAATGAAAAAATTATAGATAAAAAAGATTTAGTTAGAGGCCTCTGGCTGAAGTCAGAATTTGAGGAAGAAAGGCTGAAGAAGAATGTGAGAATTGAGAAAAGATACCTATATGATAATAAACTTAGAATGAAATAAAGTTAAATGATTTAAAATAAAGAGAAATTAAACTCTAAAATTAAATTTAGGACTTAAAACAATGTTTGAAAAATCAAAGTGCTTTACCTTAATTTAGCTGAACGTAGTATTCTGGTAAGTGAAACACAATTTCCTTCCATGATACCCTTTCCAACTGTAGGAATAATGCTTTTGCGGCATGCAACATATAATGAACATGCCAACCAGTGTATAACTTCTCCCTGGCAGGCAAAAGACAAACAGCAAAATGGATACATTATGTTAAAATGCTTGAATTCTAGAACTAGAAGAGATCTTAGAATTAACTGGTATAATTTTCATTCTGTATGTAACAGGCCATCGAGAGGGGAAGATACTTGCCCAAAGTCACAGAGCTTAGTTGGTTGCAGTAACGGGTATAACACTTCTTATTCTCAGTCCAGTGTAACATGCTAAATCAGTATTAATCTAAAGATGGATCTGTCACCTACACCTCAAATCTAATGTTACTGAGAGTTCTCTTAAAATTTCTTAGCATTAGCTTTCTCAATTTTAAAACACCAGTCATGCCCTTAATTGATGCTGAAGTTTCTACCATTTTAGCTTTGTTTAAGTTTGGCAGAGAAAGGAAAGAAGAGAGTAGAAAGATGGCAAGGGAGTCACAATAAAAATTAATACCTATCTTGTACAACATAAAGAAGACTATCATTTTTGTGAGGTAAAAATTGGAGGATTTACTCCAATCTTTAAAATAGTAAGTATGGCTCTCTATCTCAGCAGATATCTCAATTTACAATGCTACAAAAAAGATAACATTTTGGAATTCAACACTTAATTCTCTGCTTTAGACTTGAGACATCTCCATGCTAGGATCATGTTATGACTTCACTGCTGAACTATATATGAAATTTAAGGATTAAGAATTAGACACAAATCTCACAGCACGACATCATACTGCTCCTATTTACTCTTCTGCAGATCCTCTTTAAGGCCAGACTCTAGAAGGATAAAAAGATTGATGAAAAGTTTTCTTGCAATAATCCAAAAGGGATGAGTAGAAAAGGGTGCCACCAATAAAGCTAAAACCCAGTGTTCCTACCCTAAAGTAGTGAGAGGTCTTATTTGCTCAAGGCGTTAAACGAGGCAGGAAAGCTTAAGGTTGAATGTTTTTAGAAGCCTTGATTAGTGAATTGTTTGGAAATAACATCCAAGTATTATGGAGCCTTTGGATACAGGCTGCTAGAGGAAAACACCATTAAGAAAGAAAATTTAAATACTGGAGATACAGTATTGCTTTGATTTTTTTCCTTAAAAAGAAAAAAAAGTCACCTATATTATTTATTCTAGTTCCCTGATGCTAGGCCTTAGAAATACAAAGATGATTTCTGACCACACAGAACTCCAGGTCTAGAGGTAAGAGGAGGAACAGATGCTATCATGTCTAATTGGTGAGATACAAGCCATAAGAATTATTAAAGTGTCTGGGAGAGTACAGTGTAGTGAGTACCTGATTTTGACTGGAGGTCCGGGAAGGATTCAAGACAGAGTTAAAACTGGTGAGTGGTAAGTCACCAAAATGTGAGGGGGCGGCCAAGGGGAAAACGTGCACAGGAGGCTGTCAGGTGGACTAGGGGCGGGTAAGGGCTGGGGAGGGGGGTTCTCAGGAAGCAGCAGATGTATGAAAATGCCTACGCCAAGAGCCTTTCACCAAAAAAAAAAAAAAAAAGAAGAAGAAGAAAAGAAAAAAACCCACTCTGGACAGAATTAACACAAAATCTTAACTCACACATCTGTGCTTTCTGAATCACACACCTCAGATGCCCTGATCAACTCTGCCGAACCGGAAAGTTAGCTCTTTACTCTTCCCCGGAGCGCGGGGTGAGGGAGCTTCCAGGCGGAGGAAACGGCCGGAGAAGGTCCACAGCAGGAGCAAACTCGGCCCGTTCGAGAATCTGGAAGCGACGCCCCGTTCGCTTCCCCGGGCACCATGTGCTCTCAGTAAACGCTTATTCAGGGAGACCCAGGATGTCAGAAATGCGTTCTCAGGCTCTCAAACACCAGTCTGTCTCCAACGGAGGCCGCAACGCACAACCTCCCTCACTCGCTTATTCTTCCCTCAGCCCTCGGCCGGCCGCCCAGGGCCGCCGACCCCCGTCCCGCACCCAGGGCACCCAGTCCTATCCCGGACACGCACCGGGGCCTCCTCGGGCACCTCCCCTCCCAGGCCGACACTGGACGCTCAGCTCCACAGTCCCAACCGCACGCCCTGGACCCGGCATAACTGCTCCCGGGGCGGGGAGTCGGAGGAGCGCTCGGGGGGGGGGGGGGGGGGGTCCAGGCCGCTGGGACCACGAAAGCCTCCGACCCAAGGCCACCGGGGCAACGCGCCGAAAGCCAGCGCGTCACGCTTCTGCCCAGAGCGGGCTGAGCGCGTCTGGATGCGACAATCAGGAGCAGGACGAGCCGGGCAAGCCGCCCCTCCGGGCCCGGCCAGCAGCACCCGGGAAGCAGACGAGCGCTGCCCGCCCCGCGCGCAGGCCGCGGCGAGGACTGGAGACAGGCGCGTCGGGGCAGCCTAACCACGACAGCCTGCAGTTACTCTACTCGGAGCCGGACTCCGTGCTGAGCCTCAGGAGGCTCGAACGGCCCCATCGGCGACAGCAGCATCCCGTGCGGACCGGCTTGGACCAGAGTGCAGCGCAGCCGGCGCCGGGGGGGGCCGCCCGCACCTCCGCCCCGGCGAGGCGGGGCCGGGAGGCCGAGGGCCCCACAGCGGCCCTGCGAGCGCGGGCAGGCAGCTTCCCCTCCGCGGGGGCTGCCGCGAGCCACGCGAGCCGACACCCGTCAAGCGCGGGGCGGGGGAGTCCCGGCGCGCACCTCCTCCGGGCTCTGACCAATCTTTGTGTTTTATCGACGTGAGGGCAGAACCGCGGCGTGCGTGGCGCTCGGCGGGGCCCAGGGAGTCTGGTCTGGAGCCCAGGGGACCCCGAGGGGCGTGTGACCTGGGACAAGCCGCTTCTTTTCCGGACTTCAGTTTCCCGCCTCAAAAAAAAAAAAAAAAAGGATCGATCGGTCTACACCGGCCCTCCCAGCTTCGCGCCCCTCGGTGCCCGGCGGGGCAGAGACCCTCCTGGGTGGGGAACTGCCCCCAGCCCATAGGGGGGTGGAGGCGGGGCGGGGGTGGGGCCTGGCGAGGGTCGGGCCGGCCGCCCCACCGGCGCCGCTCACCTCTAGGCTGTATTTGCCCCGGATGGCGGCGAAGTCGTCCAGGGCTTCGGCCGCGCTCCCCTCGTCCAGGTTCAGCTCCTGGCACAGGGCCTGCAGCGCCTCCCTGGCCGCGGCGACCACCGCCGCCCCCTCGGCGTGGGGCTCGTTCTCGAACATCCCCTCAGGCCCTGCGGGCGGCGCAGTCGCAGCCCCCCACTCCTTTCTCCCTCCTGGGCGCGCTACCCACAACCCCCTGCGCCAAAGCGCGCGAAAATCGGCAGTGACAGAGGAACGTCTCTTTGACAGTCTGCATCCGCGTTTCCCCTCAAAAAAGTCCGTTCGTCCTCTAGGGCTCCTGGCCGTCCCTCTCCGGAAATGTCATAATAAGACGGACCTCGGGTCCTGAAAAACACCTGGACTGGACCCTTGGCGGACAGCGGTGGACACAGCCAGCGGGGCAAGTTGGGAGCGGAGGGATCGGCAGTCCGCGCGCAGGGTCTGCTGGGAGTTGTAGTCCTTTTCCTGTCTTGAAGCTGGCGGCGCCGCCCTGGTCTCCGCGGCTCTTGGGTCTGGGAAGGCCTGCGAGGTGGCCTCGTTCATCTTAGGGAGAAGCCTCGTCTGTGCCGCCAACCCGTGGGCCTGGGTTCGTCAATGCCCCGCGGCGCCAAACATAGTCTGACTGAGACTTGCCCCTTGAGTTAGGAGATGGAAGCGGGAACAGAAAAAAGTGGTCCCTTGACAGCGCGGGGCCTGGTCAGAGTCTCCTCAGGGTCCCAAACGCCCAGTGAGCGGGCTGTCTGGGCTGTCGATGATTGAAGGGTTGGTGAGGCACGGATAGTAGGGAACTCCTCCCCGTCTCCGCTTGACCCTAAAGAGGCTCGACCTGGCCTGAGAGGACTGCGGGAAGGAGGCCCTTTCTCGGCTCCCTGACCCAGGGAACCGGCCCAGTAGACGGTCATTCCAGGCTTAGGAGCGGCCTGAGCATAAGCCTGGAGGCGTGGGCTGGTCTGGAGCTCACCCTTCTGCTCCACCAAGACCCCTTCCAGGAAGAGCCAGTGACCTTATAAGGTAAACCATAGCATGTCACTTCACTCAAAATCCTTCAGTAGATTCCTCTCGCCCTTAAAATGACAGCCAGACTCCTTTCCACGGCCCACGAGGCCCCAAGTGATCTGGCCCCTCCCCAGGTGGGGCACTGTCCCCCGAGGTGTGTGTAAGGTCCAGCCTTACTGCTTTGTTCTGGAACCTTGAACAAGCCAAGCTGCCAAGCACGCTCCTGCCTCCAGGCCTTTCTCTGATACTCTGCACCAGGTCTTGGCTTGTCTGGATCCTCCTCTTCATTCAAGTCCAACTAAATGTCACCTTCTGAGGTCATCCCTGAGCACTGTATCTAAAATAGCGGACCCCCTGCCCCAACATCCCATTTTATTGTCTTCCTAGCACCTTATCACTCTGTGAAGTTATCTTCTTTGTTCACTGGCTCTTCCTACTAAAGTGAGTTGCGTGAGAGCGGGGGCCTTCCTTTCACGTTCACTACATCCCAGAGTTTAGGTTAGTGCCTGGCTCCTGGTTGGCACTCAGCATTTTGCATCATGTGTTTGAAAAATTACAAAAGTCCATTGTTGCTTGGATGAAGGAAAGAGTCACTGGATACGAAAATGAAAGACAGGTGAAGGTGGGTTGCAAAGGGCCTCATAGGCCCCACTGAAAGCCTGCGCATTGTGGGTGGGGTCTTAACAAAAGGAGGCGATGGATTGGGATGTGTTTTGGACAGGTTCTTCTGGCTGCAGGGTGACAGATGGTTTGGAGACTAGAAGTATGGGAATGGTAGGGGGCTCGTCCAGCAGAGGAAGGAGCCAGGCTGGAGAGAGGTCTCTGGCCTAGAACTGAGGTGGACGCTACCAAAGAGGTAGGGGTCCCCAATAACATAGGTTTCCATCTGGGCCAAGAGCGTGAAAAGTGATGCTGCTAACCCGAATGGGAGTACAAGCAGAGGGATGAGATCACTTCTGGAAATGTGTCTGGGATGCTTGCAGGAAGTTTCAGAGGAGGCTGTGGGCTCCTGGGAGATGGCCCCCCTCTCTTGGCAATTTCCCAGTCTTCTGCATTCTCCACAGTTAGAGAGGGGTGGGACGTGGGAACCAGCCACAAGCCAGGTCTCAAATGAGTAAAAACTCAAACTCCTCCCCGAAACTCAAACTCAAACTTAACCACCCATGTGCCACTTTCAACTCTGCTTCCTTCTAGAAGTTACTGCTGCAGCTGACTTCAGCACCATCTCATTCTCTGGAGGGGATGCTGGCACACAGTGTCTGCACAGAGACTCTTCTCCCATGAGTTTTTACTTATTTAGAGGATTGTTATGGGCAGCTGTGGGGAGGTCTATCTCCAGTGCCAAGGGCTCTGTAACGGGTTGTCATCCCTCCTCCTAACTTCCTTTTCTGTCAGCAGAGAAATGTCAGGATTACTAGAGGTGAGATGGATGAAGGTCCTCCTGTGGTGGCTCGTTTGTTAATTTTTTAATTAGAAAATTAACCTACTGTGCTTAAATAACAGCTGCGGGAGTGGGGACAGCCTGGACATGAGGATTTGGAAATATTCAGGCAGCACCTGAAGCTAAGGGAGCAGGTTGATATCACTCAGGGAGTGTGTTGGCATGAGAAAAGACTCAAGGGTAGAACCTTCAGGAACACCAACATTTCGAAGATGAGCAGAATTTGAGGAGTGAATGAAAAAAACTGTCCAGAAAGGTATAAAAACAAGGAGTGGTAACTGAGGTCAGGAAAGAAGTATTCCATAGAGTCCAACACTGTAGAGAGTTCAAATAGGATGAGGAAGTCAAAGAAGACCTCCTGTATTATTATTCAGATATTTTTAGTGACCCTTGCCAGAGGAGTTTTCTTTAGCACAGTAGGAGTGGAAGCCAGATTACTGTGGCTGAGGGGCTAACGGGAGGAAGGTCAGAAAGCTGAAGTAGGAAGTAAAAACTTCTCGTTAAGAAGTTTGGTGGAGAAGAGGCGAAAGGAAGAGGATTTTCTGGGATAGGGAAGACACAAGCATGTGAATAATCAGGGACAGGAGTAGGCAGAGACTGAAGATAAAAAAAAAAGATCACTGATGTAGCTAGGCCCTGGAAAAAGTGGCCAAGCTGGGAATCCAGAGCCTGTCCTTCCTCTAAATAGCTCCTGTCTGGAAGGTTATCACCTTACAGCTAGATTAAGCAGGCCTGCTAGGTGCTCTGCTGAGAGGAAAATAGAGTAGGGAGTTGAGAATAGTGAAGATTTGGAACAGCTGTTGAGAAATATCACTGGGTCTGTCAAATGCAAACATTATGGTAGAATTTTTGAGGAAAAATGTAGTAAAAGTAGGTCTACCCCATGGGATCCTGGCTTTCACGGCTGGGCCTGGACAAGATCACAAGAGCTGAGAAACCTTAAGTTTTTTACCTTTACCATAACTAATCTCTTTTTTTTATCCAGATCTGAACTGCAGAGGGTGATTCTGGCCTTGAAAAGAAACCAAGATAAAAGGAAACAGCTCTTGGGAATTATAAACGAAACAAAACCAGAGACTCATTGCCCCATTTTCATCTCTTTAGTAGTTTGGTTTTCAGTGACTTGCAGTATATGTACTATAGCGCATTTCTTCTTTGCTACTGGATTTGATTCTCCTGATCCTTTTCCCAGTTTATACGTACTAAATCCTGAAGACCTTTCATTTCTTCATTCCACAAATGTTTACTGAATGCCTGCCATGTGCAAGATATGATTGTTCTTTTGCCGTCACTTTCAGATCGTCCAGACTTGAACTGAGGGGCATTGCTGGCTTGAAAATGATCCAAGAACAAAAGAAACACCTCTCAAAGGTCATCCACTAAACAAACAAAAACTGAGAAACGTACGTTTTTCTTCTCCTTGGGACTGAATCTGGGCTCTAACTTTGGATTTTCAGTAAGTTGTATCCTGTCTATGTAAAGCCTTCTGTTTTCATCTCCTATCTTTTGATTCACCTGATCTGTCACCCTTTACATCCAATCAATCACTCGCTTCTGCGACTTTTTCTTTTGCCATGTTGTAATTCACAGACTGTCCTGAATTGAATTATTAGAAAATACAGGCTTTGGAAATGAGGCCAAGATAAAAGGAAAATACTCTTGAGTTCCCTTATTTCCTTTATGAAATAAAGCAGATTTAAACAGTACTCTTTTTTTTCCCTTCTTCTGGATTGTAACTGAACTATGTCATTGGTTTTCAATAGACACTACTGCCATACTCACCAAAAAAACCCAGCCCATGCTGTTCCTCTGTTACCACTGACTCCCCTGCTCCTTCATCCCCTACACCTAATCGCTAAATCTGTGCATTCCTCCTCCACCAGGTTTCTAGTTGGCTTTCAGCATTTCATATTTTCTCTTTCAATCCATCTTACGTTTAGTTACTAGTCTAGTTTTTCTCAAGCAGCATTTATATTATATCAGTTTCTTTTTCAAAACTCTTTGGGGATTCACTATTACCAATGAATCAAGTTGAGGCAGCTTGGCATTGAGGACACGTCTGTCAGATCCAGCCTTACTTGCAGGATTTTTTTTTCCCTTTTATCAATACGCTCTCCCTATTTTTTATCAGGGTTCATGTTGGTTTTTATTTTTTTCTTATTATCCAGTGGCATGCCCATTTAACACTAAACTGAGCTTTTGAATAGAAAATGAAGTGAAATCGATTTACTCTGCTCTTCATTTCTGATCCAAATATATCACGAAGTTTGTTCCTATTTTGATCCCATTGTGTGATAGCCTCTATGATTAGCCTCCCTGTTGTGGTTTAATATTTCAGAGTTCCCCAGAGTATGTGAGCAGAGCTTGATTAAGACCTTTAGAGGCTCCAAGACTAAGAAGTTTATAGTACACACTCTCCCAAATGTAATTCAAAATATAAACAATTCTAAACCACAAAATAAGTGTAGGAAAGTGTAACAAGTTCTGATAATTTTTCCCAACATGGTTATTTTATTTTGAAATTCCAAAACAAATTTTTTTTTGTCCTCCAGCTTTGCTATGCCCTAAGCAGGTACTTGGTCTGCACATGCCCTTCTTAGGAAAAACTACTCATCTAACCTTCTAACTGTCAAAAAAAGCAGTTGATAGTGTGGGGGAGGGGCTAGACCTAACCTCATTATTCTTCCTGTTCTTGTTCCCCAAATGAAAACTAAAGTGGTGGTCCTTAAGCTGGGAGCCTGCAGGGAAAGTAGTGCCAGCCCTACTCACAAGGACAATTAAGTGATTTTTGTACCTCCTTTAGACTTTGGATAAGAAAATGAGAAACTGAAAAGCCCAATTTAACTTAAAAATGTTAGTTCTAAGGCCTTTTGCCATCAAAATCTATGCCCAGGGCACTCAACTTGGTCACAAGAAGATATTTCAGAATAGCAGTTTCTTTCAAGTTTTACTCTAAAAGATTCTTCTGACACAGACTTCAGTCTACCTAGAACCAAAACTCAGGGTCATTTTTGTTTCCTGAATCCATACATATCTGGGTTAATCCTGCTCCCCTGTAATCCCAGAGAAGCTATAAAACTGAACTTTATTAGCTAAAAACCACCCCAGACATTAGCTCTTAAGCAGAAGGTCTTGGTGGAAAAGTCAAACCATATGAGAGGGCTCTCTGACACCCAAATACAGCAACAGCAAACAATCTTGGTAAGATTATCCCTGTTGCTTTTTTCCTCATTTCAATTTCTTCAAATTTAGGGAATTTCCTTTTCTTCTTTGAAACAATTAAGGCTTTTACCTATGGAGCTACTACAGAAAGTACAGAGACTTGGAATCAAGAGACTTAAAGTCTAAGTCCTAGCACTGCTGCTTGCTGATTTTGTGCTCTCTGGCAAGTTATCTAAACCTCTCTGAGCCTCTTTCCTCATCTGTAAAATGGCAATAACCATAATCTCTAAATTACACAATTAAAGCAAGTTAAAAAAAATAACATGAAAGTCGTATACAAATGACAGTTATAACTTATTCTTTCCTCTACTGTTTTCCTACTGCACCAGAAACACTTGGCTGCTTTCCAGCCAACTCTAATCTACTTTATTTCCACATCTTGAAGTGTGTCACCTCAATCAATATAACTGATTCTTAAGTGCATGAATTTAAATTGAATAACTGAGATTAGGAATGGGTCCACTTAGAACAAACAGACCGCAGATTATATACATGTGCATCTATATAAATTATCTCTGGAAGGATACGTAAGAAATCAGGAACAGTAATTGCCTAAGGGAAGAGGAATTCAGTAGTGGTGAGGTGGGCATAAAGAAAGTTACCTTTTACTATGTATCTTTTCGTATCTTTTGAATTTTGTACTTATGCCAAAAATTAACTTAATAAATAAGATGTATGCTATAAAATAGACCATCACATATGTATGCTATGATAAAGATACTCTTTTACTACCTGTTTTTATTGATAAGCTCAGTTAATTAACAACTGCTCCTAAGAAATTTTAAGCATTTTGTCATTTCAGAAACTATTTTTCTCTGTATATTTGATTTTAAAAAATAAGACACAGGCGTGGAGAATCATGAGTTAATTTCCATATACAATTACAGTGTTATTGCTAAGGTCCTAAAGTTTGAAATGCAGCAGACAAAAGCAAAAACCCAGATAGTCAGACCATTTCAGATGTTAACTGAATTTGTAACTAAAGGAACAGACTAAAAGCTAATTCCTCAATATATAAAAAGCTCCTATGAATCAACATGAAAAAGACCAACAAACCTCCTCAAAATGGGGAAACGATTTGAATATAGTCTTAGAAAAAGAAATGCAAATAGCATTTAGATGTGAAAAGATGCTCAACCTTTCTAATAAGAAAAAAATGCAAATTTAAACCACTAAAAAAACCATTTTTTTATGTATTCAATTGGCAAAAATCCAAAAGTTGAAAATACTTCAGTGACTTCCCATTTCTTTCAGAGTTAAGCCAAACTGTTTGTCATGGCCTACAAGTCACTAAGGATCTAGATCTGGTCCCTTATATAACTTCATTTCTCTCTGCCTTTATTTATTACTCTCTCCTTTCTCACCCCGCTCTAGTCATAGTGGCGTTCTTGTGATTCCTTGAATACCCTAGGCAACCCTAGTGCCTTAGGACTTTTGAGATGGCTATTTCCTCTGACCAGAATGTTCTTTCCCTACATCTGCATAGCTAACACTTTCACTTCCTTCAAGTCTTTGCTCAAATATCATCTTCTCAATGAAGCCTACTGTTAGCCATCCTGTTTAAAATTGCACCTCCTCCTCCTCACAACCACCACACTTCTGATTCCTCATACTCTGATCTTTCTTCCAGAGCATATTCCAGCTTCTAACATACTGTATGATCTTATGTTTATTTATATTATTATACATTGTTATTTCTCTCCGCCTGCTAGAATATAAACTCCACTAGCGCAGGGATTTTGTTCTGTTTTATTCCTTGATGTTTCCTAGTTATCTAGAATGGTGTTGAGCCCATAGATATTTGTAGAGTGAATGAATACCATTATGCTGGCAAAGATGTGAGGAGAAAAGCACAGTCTGACATCACCGGGGTGTAACTGTTACTACCTCCATGCAAGTCATTTGGCAATATTTTAATTTGAAATCACAAAGGACATACCCTTTAATCTGGTAATTCCCCTTTTAGGATTTTATCCTAAAGACACACTTGGCCATGTGTGAAATATGTATGTCCATAGTTACTATGGTATTCTATATGACAAAGATTGGAAATTACCTAAAGGTCCATTAATTTAATAAATACAGTGAAATACTGGGCAGGAATATAGAATGAGGAAACTCTTTGGAGTAATATGGGAAAATCTCAAAGATATTAAGGAGAAAAAGTGCAAGGTGCAGAACATTATGTATAGAATACTATAATTTGTAAAAAAAAGCAGGGAAGAGAATACACATATTTTCTCATAAATGCATACTATGTCTTGAAAGAGATACAAGAAACTGGTAATACTGGGTGCCTTCAGGGAGGTGAAGTGGATGGCTGGGAACATTTTGTAACTTTTGAATTTTGAACATATATATGCATTACCACTTTATAAGTCAAGAAAAACAAAAATGTTTTCTGAACTCTTTCTCTTTTTAAATACTGTATTTTAATTTCAAATAAACCCTGACTTAATATTCTTATTTTTAAAAAGTATATTGAGGTCAGGGCTTTCATATAAGGAATCGGATACAGAGATGAGTGTCTTGAGATTATTTTCAGATTCAGTCGCTTACTGATTTCAAGACCAGACCACTTAACTAATGTCTATTTCATATTTTTATTTCACTTTTGGCAGTGATGAGGCCTGGGTGGTGTTAGAATATTAGTATTTCAAACATCTTGAAAGGTTCTTTTAGCAACCCGGGTGCTACAGCAATTTCATTAATTATTAAATAGTGAAAACTATGAAGGTCTGAATTAGAAAATCCTTTTATAACTTTTTAAATTTTCAATTATTTTAATAATAATTTCAATTATTTTAATAATAATTTCAATTATTTTAATAATACAGTTGATGGAAATAGTTTTGCAAAGGACTTTTGGCTTAGAAGTCTAAAATAAAAAATCCTGAGCAGATTAAAGCTCTAAAACAGGTTACCACAAAGGAAGTAGTAGAAATGTATTTGGCTTAAAACCTACTTGAAAAAAATTTTTTATATAAAACTACTAAAATCCAGTGGGATTGCTTGGCCAGACTTTATAATTCTGTGAGGTCTTGAACTGCAATGATAATCTGGGATGTAATACAACAGAAAAATTCTTTAGAAACCACCAAGGCTATTGCAGGAAAAAGGCTTGAGGTCTTTCTGGAAAAATCAAGTTCTTTAGTTTTAAGGTCACAACACTTAAATTGCCTATAAATTCTTTTCCTTTTTAGTGTCCTGACTTTCTTGCCACAAAATAAGTGATTTTCTAAGATGAACTGATACACAATCAGAGTTTAAATTTAGTAGGTTTGGTTTGGTCAGCGGTTGCTTGAAAGACGAAGGCTTGGAGGTGTCCCCTTATATAGCGTATGTACACTTTTGACCTGGTCTTTAAACCCATGAGTGGCTGAGGAATCACTCTTTACCCCAACTGCGGTCTTCTGAAGTGGGCTGGGGAACACTTTACTGAAAACCAGTGTCCGAGGGACCAGCACGTCTGAACCCTATGTTTGATGCGTCTTCTATATTATCTCAACTCTCTGCCGTTTAATCTCATTCACAGGTGGACATCCTTTCTAGATTCCCAGCTTCCATCTCCCTCCTAACCTCTTCCCATGTCCCTGCTCCCTTTTAAAATTTCCCTTTCTATATTCACGCCATCATTTCTGTTAAAAAAAAGGGGGGGGGGGGCTGGGTGTGACAGTTCCCTCATAAAGATTCTTTGGTATTGTCAAATGACAAAAATAATACCATTTAGTAATGAGTTTGATGTCCTTTATTCAAGGGAAAACAATCCATGGATTGGGGGGGTATGTTGCCTTATGAGTGGTGAAGCACTGTTCCCAAGGGATCTGGGGCAGGAAGTTTATAGAACCTTAGAAGAGGCAACACGGAAACAGCATGATTGCCTAGGAGGCCAAGGGTTTCCTTAGGAGGCTAGCAGGTCCTGTTTTCTAGGGTAAGGTAAGCTAGCTAAAGCTGAGTTGGAGGATTGTGATTGGTGTATGTTAAGATTCCTTGACAGGGGTTTCCCACAAGTGCAGGCTGACTTAGGTTTAGATTTGTAACACGGGCTGGGCCACTGGGGCAGCCTCCATTTTGTGGGTTCCGATCTACGAATTAACTTTATCAATATCCACAGGAACCATTTTAAACCAGTGCTGTCTTCCTTGGACATCAGACCATAAACTCTGCAGGGTGATAGAAAGTAGAGAAGACATAACTGAATCATTCAGCAATTGCCACTTGGTATTTAAGGGAAGTCATCCGATGTACTGGGAAGTCATCATCATTTTTCAGGAAAGATAGAATCCACAACTTCCCTTTGTGTTTTGCACAACAGAAGGCAGTTGTTAGTTATCCTTTCTAATCCTTTTCTTTTGCTGAGTTCTGATTCTGAGGAGCATTTGGGAAGAGGTAGGGAAAGCAGCTGCTCATATGATAGATATGTTTTTGGGGATGACAGGAAAATATCTATCCTTCACCATCACCTCCAGCCCCACCTCCAAATACCTCCTCTCTCCATCCTGCTCAGTAATGCCTAAAATTTCTCAATTAGAGGTTCATGCCTTTAGCTTAAGTCTACTTTGTTAAAAAGCAAAAATCTCTGAAGGAGTTACCCTCATTAAGTCTTGCAGTGTAGTGATTAATTACATTAACCGTGAGTTCATCAGATCCTTTCCTGAGAGAGAGAGAAAAAGGAGCATGGAGCCAAGAACCTGGGAGAAGGAAGGAGGGGGAAGCCCTAAGGGACAGAGCTATTTGATCTATTTTACAATTTTACCTAGTGCAGTTTTACTTGCTGGGCTGATGCCTGAGAGATTCTCCCCTTCCCTAATCCCATTTTTTTATTTATATGATAGTTTAATCTTTCAATAAGAGAAAAAAAATCATTTCTTAGAGGGGCCAACCCTGTGGCCAAGTGGTTAAGTTCACGCGCTCCGCTGCAGGTGGCCCAGTGTTTTGTCGGTTTGAATCCTGGGCGCGGACATGGCATTGCTCATCGAGCCACGCTGAGGTGGCATCCCACATGCCACAACTAGAAGGACCCACAACTAAAATATACAACTATGTACTGGGGGGCTTTGGGGAGAAAAAGGAAAAAATAAAATCTTTAAAAAAAAAATCATTTCTTAGAAAATAGGTATCTCAGTATAAGGGGGGAAAGCAATACTCAAAGTAAAAAAAGAGAGAATCTAAAATAATAAAGACATAGCTGGCCCAGTAATATAATCAACAATACATTTTAATAGTATATAATGAAAATAAAGCCAAAATGAAATCCAATTATATTGAACTTTTATTTCAACATATAATAAAATTAAATGTCCAGAAATTTTTGTTTCGTATATTAAAAAATTCCATAAAAACATAAACCTATCTCTGAGGAGAGCCTTGTATAAAAATAATGGAGATATTTGGAATAAATAGACTTGTTAATATAACCACTATTAAGTACTTCAACCCTTCCCAAACTGCTAAGGTAGTTCAGAAAAGAGCAGTCCTCTGTCTCTTAATGGATGCTTCTTCCTGTGAACTTTAACACAATAAAGTGTAAGTAAAATAGAATAAGCATTGTTGTGTTGCTACTCCCTCTTAGTGGTATTATTCAGAAAATAAAAATCTGCCAGGAGGGAAAGGGACTCTAGCGTAAATATGAGTAAAGAGAAAGGATTCATTCAATCCTTTGGATGTGTCACTGGATATTTAAACTGCATCCTAAAGCTAGAGGTCTGTTTTCTGCTGGGAGGGATAGTTCATGAGATCAGATCAAGGACTCAAAAAATATTCCTCAAGAATAACCACCACCTTTTGCTCTAACTCCGCTCTTTACAGTGGAGGATGTACATTCTATCCTATTAAAAAATAAAATAAGGTATACTAACTTTTAGGTAAGAAGTGTTCAAACTTTGTATTTATGAGTTGAGTCTCAATAACAGTTTACAACATTTGTTTCAGTACATGAGTTTGGGGCATGAGTTCAGCAGCTGAGATTAATTGTAGAGTAAATCTGCATTTATTCACATTGGAGGGAAAAAGTAGACTGGAGAGAATCAGAGCAGACTAGCCAAGGATGTGGACTTTGGAGCCAGACTACTTGAGTTTGGCCTTTACTAGTTGTGTGATCTTGAGCAAGTCACTTTCACGTTTTGTTCCTCAGCTTCCCCATCTGCAAAATGGAGATAATAATATACGGAGTGGTTATGAGGATTAAAAGTTAATCATATAATGTACTTTAGAGTGAGCCACTTAGAGTGAGTACTCTTAGAGTGGCTCATTGTAGGCACTCAATAAGTGTTAGTCATTTTATTGGATAATCCACAAAATGGATAGTTCAGAAGTGGAGAGTGAGAATGCATGCACTGAGACCAAGGAGAAAGCAGTGAGGGAAACATGTATCTCAAATGTGCTCGCTGCAGTGAAGTTTAGCATCCAGTGGCCACCCTCAAGCTGTACTCTTGGCTCTACCCAAGGGTGAATATTTAGTCCATTAGGCAGCCGGGGCCTGCATTTTAGCTCAAAACTCCTGACTGCTAGTCCCTAATATGAACACATCTCTTGGGCAGGGATCCTCTTGAAGCCATACTTGGCACATTGTCACATCCCTCAAAACATATTCAACTTACCATGAATCATGAAGAAATTTGTTCCTAAAAATGTCTTGGCAGAGGGATGGGGGTGAAAGGTGAGGGAAGAGGGTAGTAAGGCTTCATATTACTCATTTTACAACAAAAACTTAACACAATTCACCATTGGATGTGTCTATTCTTCATTGCTAGTTGCCTCATTTCCTTTCTCTTTTCCCATACCATCTCCAGGAGGCCTCTTCACTGCCCTACATAGTTCAGCTCTGGCTCTCCACTTACGTTACTTATCCAAACAAGACCCTGGGAATTAGACTGATAGTGACCATTTCTAATTAATCTACCATGCCTCTTGCAGCTTATCAAAGTATTCACCAAATATGAGTTAATCTCTTTCTCAGGAAATTTCTGCTTGTAAGACAGTTTTCTCCATCTATGCTTAAAGCAGACAGTGGGTACTCAGTAAGTAACAGTTCCCATCCTAGAGCCATCTCAGGATCTGACAGCATTGTAGGAGAGGGAATCAGGAAAATGAAAAAGGGAAAGTGAGGCATGGAAACTTTGAATATATTAGGATAGAGTTAGCATTACATCACTTCAGAAATTTTTTCTTGCTTGAAGGTTTTTAAGGAAAAGGAAAAGGAAAGAGAAAGACCATAAGGGATTTTATTTAAAAAATCATTACTATCAAACTATAAGAACTCGTTTTAACTTTATTCTTAAGATTGTTGACAAGTAGACCTGGGCCTTGACAAAAGAACTAATAATACAAACATTGCGACATTAACATTTATTTGGAATCTCTTCTGAAGCTGTCCTAGACAGGTTTATCAAGACTGGAACTTCATGGATATTCTGGCATGGCTCCAAAACTCAGCAGATTTCCACTGTTTCTGCTACTTTACACCAAGAGCTTCTCTCCCTTATATATTCTAATTCCTTAAGGTTTTGACAAGAAAAAATAAGTTCTGATATAATTAAATAGGTAGAGGAGGTAGCTTCATGCTGGCATTAAGTCTGAAAAAAAAATGGAGCACTAGTTGCTTCTGTGGTTTCTGAAAGGATTAGTTTTTACCTGATGTTGTTTGCCTTGCATCTCTAGGTAGGAAGACAACCTATGAGCTTCCTCAACCCGAAAACTGTCTGCCCATGATCTGGTTCAGCCCCCACCTTCTGGACTCGGAACAGGGCCTGGGAGGCGACGACACGCAGAGAGGGCTCAGGGTCACGCAGCAGATCTCTCAGATCTAAGTGGCAAGAAACCCCAGGGTGGAGGTGAAGACCTATGGAAATGATCACTAGTTCAGACACCAAACAGCCAACATGCCTACAGAAGCTGGGATAAAGGGCGAACTTCTTGCAAGCCTCTGTCTGAAAGTTTGTATGTTTATAGGTCAATTCCAACTTTGACCTACAAAACTTACTCGTTTCCAAGTTGCCAAATATTTCACTCCTTTACAATAATCACACTGCCAAGTAGTCTACTTAAAGTCAAATTGTTGGACCTGCTAAGCTATGTCTAATATTGTTAACTTCTAAGTTAAGAGAAAAACACTGTTATTTTTCTGTTCTTCTTTCTATTCATTTATTTACACAATGTATACTTTTATTTTTTGTCTAAATGGAACCATATTTTACATATTATCTAATTATTGTTTATTTAATCACATTGCATCATCATTTATCCAAGTTATTTAAATATTTTTCTACAATGTCTTTCATGGCTGCATATGATTCTACAATGTGGATATGCTATACTTAACTAACTTCCTATTGTTTCTAATCTTGGATGTCTCCCATTTTTGCTCTTTTAAATAACACTGAAATGAACATTCCTGTAACTATTTCTGCTTATTTTCATAGGTTAAATTCCTAGAAGTGGGATTGATAAGTCAAAGGATATGATTATTTAAAGGGTTTTAATATGTATTGCCAAACTTCCCTATAAAAAAGTTGTTTCAATTTATGCTCATCTCAACACAGTGGATCATAATGTCAGTTTTCCTTTAACACATCAATATTGAGTATTAGTAGTCTTTGCCATTTTGACAGAAGAACACATACTGGTATCTCATCATTGTTTTGCTTTATAAACTTTTGATTACTAGTAATACTGAATATTTTTCATATATTTATTGCCCATTTATCTTCTATGAACTGATCATTCATAATATTTTCCACTTTTCTTTTGAGAAAGTACTGGTTTAAGGAATATTTACCCTTCATCATCTTGCAAATAATCCCTTCCATGTTATTGTTTATTTTTCAGTTTTGTCATTTTCTCTTTTTTTTCAAAGGTGGTTTTTAAAATTTTTATGTAGACAAATCTATTATTCTTTTACTTTATGGATCTGTGTTTTGATCCTATTAGAAAAAGCTCTCTTTTTAATTTCTAATTCTCCAAGGTCACAAAATGCTCAGGATCTCTTCATACTATGGAGCTTTTTATTACTTAAGTTGTATTTTAGCCTTTAAATTCACGTTTATTTCCAAAATGGAATACTTTCAGTTCTTGCATTAAGATCTGGCTACATGTTCCACAGAATACATGAGGGGGCAGACATAAATTTTGCAATCCAAAGGAAGTGAAACTTATTTTGTCATGAAATTGATTTAAATTGATATTTAAAATTTTATTTTTGTTTAAATTTAGCTTAAAATTACCTGTGGTAAATGACATAAACTTGTTTAAAAAAGAGTGCTAGGGTGTTCTACCCTATTTCTAAGACAGATAAGCCACTGTTAGGGAAGGAAGAGGGTGGGATTATTCCATTAGGTTGAACCACATAAGACTGCTGATATTTGACCAGTTTTGCCTTACAAAATGGTAATTTCATATGGTTCACCCTAATATATATGTATATAATATAATAATACATATAGATAACTTGAGAGTAGAAAAGGAACTTTGGTTCTCCAGTGTTTTAGATTATAATTTCCTTTTAATTGAATCAACCAAGTAGAATCCTACTTCACAGAATAAAATAATCTACATGACTTTTCCTATTTTTTTTTGCTTCTGATATCTGTGGAGAAGTAGGAGACCTTAGAGAAAAGTGGCATGATCTTTCTTAAATAAGTTTCAGCTTCTGGCTATTTTACCAGTTATTTATTTTTACTTAAAAAGCAGTGAATTGTTCAGTATTTTAATTTGGTTCTCAAAGTACATGCTTTTGGATTGTGAGATTTAGCATTTTGTGGCATTTTCTAATTGTAGGACTACTTTTTAAGTGGGAATAAATCATTCTTTGTGTGCTAAGTTCTCAAAATTGTATAATTACAGAAAATTTTCACTCACTGACAAGTCAGAAAACCAACTGCACGATGGTTGACTTATACAACTATAACACATCTCTGTTATCGAGTCCTACCAGCCTACAGGACAACCGCTTATAGGAAATAGTGCTGCAGTCATCTGTGTGATACTTGAGAGGTGGCATCATAATTTACTAAGATATTATTTCTAGCTAGTGTCTTATGTCCTGACAGACAAAGTTCAGGAATTGTCCCTGAGACACTCATCAAAGCTGATTTCCAGACAAATAGAGTCATCTCCTTTCCTAAAGAGGGAGTTGGACTGGGATGAGACTGTCACTCAATTAAGTCTCCAAGAGCTTTATTATCACAAAACTCAGGCTTTCTGGTTCCCAGAGTCTCAGCTCTGCCACAGAGCCTACCCAGAGTCACTGCCTCAGATACCTTCCAAAAATGGGGTACCCCAAACCCAAGTGTATTATCACTTACCATCCTCTATCCAGCCAGTACCCTTCATCCTGAGCTCATTGTCATCCATGTACTTTGTTAAGAGCCCTAAATGCAGGAGAAAGTCAGTGAGTCTGCAATCTGGCTTTGGCTCTAAGCAGCTGGCAGAACTGGCCTTTTGATAATTAGACAGATTCTAAAAACTGGACTTCCAAGTACCTGATAGTTACCTATAGATAACATAGCCCCTTTCTCCAAAGAAGTATTTTCAAGGTCACCTTCATAAAGAGTAGGATACTCAACAACACAATTTTGCAAAGTATAGGATAAAAGTGACTACAGAAATGAACGGATTTTCTTTGTACCTACAAACAAGACTGCTGCTCTTCTGACAGGAAGTTTTGCATTCTTGAAGAACATCAATGTTTGGGCTAGGATGTTAACTTTCCCCTTGCATTTTTTTCCCTAAGTGGGGAGAAAAGTAAGAATATAAAGGAGTGAAGTAGCAGCACTATTTTTATCAGCCTCATTATAGTTCCAGAGTGAGGGACTATGTCAGATATACGTATATAGTGCTTGAAATAACTACAGTTGCTCAATGAATATTGTATATTCAGAATAACAAGGCCCCAGAAAAAGTTAAATTCTCTGAATACATCTTGCTCACACTCATTCATGCTGCATATTGTGCCTGTAACACCTCTAAATCCATCTTCACTTCTCTGTATCTAACTCTTCTCCATTCTCTAAGCTCCACCTTGAGCTCTGCTTCCCTGTGGGCTCTTCCCTGACAGCTCTTGCCTTCCTGACCTAACTCTGCTCTGAGCGTTTTACAGGTACTCCTCTCTTGACACATATCATTTTCCACCTTGAGTTTCTATTTAATGTTCCTCAGAGGTTTTATCTCCCTTAGTAACTAGCAAAAAACTCCTCCTAGGAAGTTTTAATCCTTGGCACGTTTCTGGGTTCTCTACAGCCTGTTGCACACTGGATGTGCTATGCTTATTAGATGAATTAACTCACCTCTCTGGATCTCTTACAAGGATAGGCACTTTAGAGATAGGTGGAGAAAAACAGGAATTTGTTCTCATAGAACTTATGATTTAACATGGACAATCTGTAGTCTTATTCATTGAGAGCACTGAATTTCCTGCTATAAATACAGCAATCAGTGTATCACTTATAGGTTTGGCTGCAGGTCACAGAGGGAATGCCCAGTGGAAAGCCTGATGCAAGGGCACTGTGGGGCTTCTTAGCCCTGTAAATCTGCTTGGAGGAGCCCTTACTGGTCCTAAACAGGCTACACATATAGAAGATCTCTGGGAATAGTCAGTCCTAGGGTCTTCATAGTAGGATCCCAGTGGTTTTAGAGTCAGTTGTCTAGAAAGCCATGGATGGGCACTCTGAGGCTTCCCTGGCTCAAGCCTGCCCCTAAGATCAGCCACAGTAGCCTTTGTCAAGTTTTTGAAGAGAAAGGATGCCATCTAGGTCCAGGCAGAGCCAGCAGCATGCTGCCATCATGCATGGCAGCCCTTGCTTGGGGCTCCCTGAACATGCTCTGATGGAGGGTAAAACAATCCACTAAATCCAAGGAAAGGATTAGAGATCATTGTAAAGGCAATATATAACTCCACACTCCACAAGCAGATTTTGAGCATGTACTATCAGCCTGACCCTGTAGTCTCTGGCCCAGGTTAGCGGGGCTCCCAAGAGTTCATCAGTCTTTTTGTAAGGAAGGGTGATAACACAAAGTGAATTTGTGACCCAGTTGGGAAGAAACTATAGAAGAATAGATTCACAGTACAAGACAGTTCATAGATATTAACTGCTGATGTGAAAAGGGATGGGAAATATTTCATATCTTGTTCCTCCGTTAAAAACTATGTCTGAAAAAAAGTCAGCATATTAAAGAGTTAAAAAAAGCCATTATTGTTCTCATACAAAGAATTTGCAGACTGTTCCAACTTCACGAGGGCTGATGTACCAGGGATCTCTGCAGTACACTTCGTGGGGCAGCCTCCACTTCAGGAACTGCGCACATATAGTTAGGACTCGCCTGCTCTCCTGTGAAAAGGATTATCAGAGATCAGCATTTTATAACATTTTTTAGCTGGGGTAACCTTTCTTCAAATAACACTGACACTAAAGTCTAATATGAAAAGCTGATAAACTCAGAATTATCCTGGTTGAAGTGAGGGGAGGGGAGGAAAGGAACCAGAGTCTTGCTCTCCTTCACCTTCCCCAAACTGTCCCTAAAGGGGACTCATAAACCTGTGGGGTTCTGGAGAGGATGCGGAAACCACTGCTCTAGGGCAAAAGTGAGAGCTATCAGCTGTAATACCCAGACCAGAGATTTGTGCAGGAGTTCCCATTACCCCATGTCCAAGAGGCAGGCTCCTATGCCCACTTGCTACTCCTATGACATTTTTCTGTCAGTCTACACAGGGAAGTATAGCTCCTTTTTTCACATCCTTATAGAATCTCTGGCTTGGAAGGAACTCTGGAGAGTACTGATCCTTTCCTGATCCAGATACCTGAGCAAAATTTAGCAAGTGGCCCTCTTCTCTATTCATTGCTCTCAGAATGCCTCCCATTCACCATACAACTCTTCTGATGACTCTAAGCAAGTGTTTTGTCCCAGGTCCACCAGATATTTGGGCCATTAAAAACCCTCTGGGGACTTATGGGAATACAAATTAGTTAAGCTACTTTGCTTAACGATTTGTAAGTATCTAGTAAAGTTAGAGATACCCAGATATTCCACTTCTGGGTTTATGCCCTCAAGAAACTCTCACACATGTACAGACACAAAAATATGTACAATATTCATTGCAGCATTGTACTAATGAAAAATTGAAAATAATCTAAATGTCCAGGAATAGGAGAATGAAATAAATTGTAGGATAATCACATGATGGAATTCTCTATAGCATTGAAAGCAAATGAACTAGAGCTATACAACATGGATAAATCTTACAAATATAATGTTAAACAAAAACAACAAAAAAGCAAGTTGCTGAAAGATTTATAAATGATACAACATATAAAGTTTTAAAACATGAAAAATATTACTACAGAAATGATAAAAACAAAATTCAGGATGGTAGTTCTTGGGGGAACTCATTTGGGAATAGGTGCATGATTTATTTCTGTCTTATTTCTTGGAGTGGGTGGTGGATACATGGGTGTTTCTTATATTCCCTGTCAGTGATTCCTAACCTGTCTAACGTTAGATCCCTCTTCTCTGCTTAGGCTACCCTCTGAGGAACCTTAAAGAGGTGGATAGAGGTTGCTCAAGGTTTGAAGGAAAATAAGCCCAGAGCCTTGGCTGCTCTACACCTTGCCTGATTGCCAAAGGCTGGCGGGGCAGGGGATGGTTGGGTATCAATACCTCCGTATATCTGTAACCCCTACAGGGCATACTTTCCCATCACTCGGTTGGGAAGCTCTGCTCTATACTTGATTGGAGTCTGAAATATTTCATATTTATGGCTATAAGGCCATAAAACTTCCCCCATAACAAGGTGCCAAGGCCCACCATAATCTTAAATCCTGTTTCTGAACCTTCTTCCATTTCTGTAAGAGGGAGCGTGGGTAGGTGAGAGCTCCAGCAAATATTTTTCCAGCCTAAACCTATCTCTCTGTTTTGCTGTAACTGGTGGTCATAGTTAGCACACTGGAATGGACAGGCTTCTGAGGTGTGGGACAATCTAAAGGACAGTCTGAGGGACAGCACTAAAGATGATGACATCCCACCCACAACTCTTATGGCAGAAACCCCTGGAAGATTAAGGAGAGGTAAAGTCTTCTCCAGATTGTCAGAGACGCTACTATTTCTTACTTAGCCTCAACACAAGTCCATTTGTCTCAAGGCCATGAGGCAGTTCTTGAGTGAAAGAATACAGATAATAAAATATTATCATTATCATCAACAAAAAGAGTTTATTGAATTGGGCACTGTTAGGGCTCTATGCTAGGCTGAATATTGAGGTGTGGCTACAACAAGGTATAATACATCATTCTTACCAACAAAGGGCCATAATTAGCTATACAGAAATAAGGAGTAAGATTTTTTGCACAATTCATTTGGCCAAAATAATTGAAAGGTAGCCTGTGCCGGAGGAAATGGGAAATAAAGAGGATACCACAAAGTCTCTGCCCTCAAAGATATGAATACTTATTTACAGATTTGGCTCTGGATTTGAAGTTATTCAGGGCTGAAAGAAATTGACAGTAGGGATTACCTCAGCTACTGCATCATTTTCATCCTGAGAATACAAAAGTAGTGGGACCAAGCTGTCCAGGACTTGGTTCTCTACACCCTTCTTATCTGTGTATTTCACAGACTTTACGGAGGCTCCAAAGAGGGTCATGGAGAAGCGGTGAACATCAGGCCTCACCTGTGAAGGGAGTATCCAAAGGGAAGCAACTCACTGAAAGTGTTCGTACTTAACTTATAAGAGCTCCAAGTCAGTTGAAACACCAGTCCTAACACGAGGCTGTTTAGCTTTAGGCAGCTGAGGGCAAGAAACCAAACATATGTGGAGATAGCAAGAC